GGGATATAATACAACCAACATCAACCAACATCAACCAACTATATATATATATAGTTTATGGGATGAATTGGAAATATGATGAGGATAGAGCCACCATCATGGGGATATAATGAGATACAATATAACCAACAATATCATATGGAGATTGTCTCGTTAGTTGGCGGAAAAAAACCCTGATGATTTGCCATGGAATGGCGTGGCAAATTAGGCTCCACCATCAATTCATTTGGGATTGCCTTTTTTTTTTCAGACAACCCTGATCTCATCCCTCTTTTGGCATGGTTTGTCAACGATGTCCTCGCCTTTTCAACTGGACATTTCGCCAGCGACGGAAGTCCCAATTTTTTTTTGGGATGTTCACCACCAAAACGTTGGGAAAATTGATAGGGAAGGGGTTTCAGAGAATAATATACACATGAAGGATGTGGCCTTGGATTTTCTATGTTCATGTTACTGGAGTAGGTTGGACTTGGAAGTGGTTAAAAAAAAACCAAATGTGACGAGGCTTAAATACACTGTGGATCAACTGAAACGATAGCTGATATATCTGTAGGTGACCATAGTAACTGGATGTACCCTCTGGTAAACTAACATAGCTACTGTATGGAAAATCACCATTTTCAATGGGAAAATCCACTATAAATGGTCATTTTCAATAGCTATGTTAAATTACCAGAGGTATATCCTCCAACAATCTTAAACCTGGCTTGCTGGCAAATCCCGCCTATTTATAGATAGATTTCCCATCAAAAGCTCCAGATTTGGGGATTTCCCAGCACCTTTGATTACCAGAGGCTGTCGCAGCGAAGTGGTGGTTTTTTTCAGGCCCCAAGTAAAGAAACCATCCTAGTAGCAACTTCCCAGGGATTTTGATCAGTTACCCGTTACCGGTCATCAGTTACAAGGGCCAGCTGGGAAAATCATCGAAAAAAGTAAGGCTTTTCCAGCACGCCACGTTTTGATGATCGGAGGGTTTTCCAGAAATGGCGATGATTTTTTCGACCTAGTGTGACAGCTAAAATTTATCCCCAGGCATGTTGACCACGACGAATGGATAACGCGGTGATTGGCAGATCGCCTGCGAAGCCTCTGGGATTGGTCACTGATTGGGCCGAATTTAGGTGTTCATCACTGGTGATTTTCCTAGTATGGCTGGTTAGGATAAATCCTCACTTCAACTTTTTTTTGTGTCATCGGAGCATCCCCCTACCAGTTTGACCCTGAGGAGAACCAAAAGTTTTCCAGGTCTGTGTAGTCGGGAGTTGGGAGTTGGGGAATCATCTACAAGAGGTAATTCTCGAGATTGGGTGGCAGCTGTCCAGATCATTCAAAGAGCAACTATAGATGGCCATATTTGTTTGTTTGCAAAAAAAAATTACATACTATAATTATACATATATATATATGTATATATATATATATGACATATGATGAAATATGCACAATTCCGTACAACTCCTGTAAAGGCTACGCTTGTAGAGGGTTCTGCCTGGATACATTGGAAATCCGTTGGCCGAAGAATTGGTCCGCTAACCCTTTGATTATTTAACATAGCTTAGCTATCGTATAGATGGCCTATTAAGTGGGATGCTAAACATGATGATTTACTGTGCCCATTCAAAGTGATGATTTTCCATAGCTATGTCAAATGACCAGAGGGTAAATAGTTTAAGATTCTATATTTTGTGTATGTTTTTCGCTGTTTCTCGGGCCCATTGAAACCCTGAATCTCTACTAGCAGGGATAGAGCAGCTTTCCACCTTTCAGATCCCCCGAAATGGAGGTTTGATATGTCCCTTTTCAGAATCAAATGTGTGGCAAAGTCGACCCATGTCGACTTTGCCCATCTCGATCGAAAAAGGCTCCAATCAGGTCACATATCCCATCGAGACGATAGCTTCAGCGAGAGATTTAGGATACCTAGGTGCGTTTTGTATGGATTTCTGGTGGCAAACGTCCACCTGGTCCCATCGTATTTCTACGGAGGCCTATTTTTGGTGTTTTTTTTGTCCCTTTTTTTTTAAATTTCTGGTTCCCAGCTTCTCTTCTTTTCTGCTTTTCGCTGCTTCTTTGCTTCTGTGCTTCTCCACTTTTCTGCTTTTCCGTGCTTGCCTGCTTCTCTGCTTCTCTGCTTTTCTGTGTTTTCATGCTTTCCTGCCTTTCTGCTTCTTTGCTTCTCTGCTTTTCTCCTCCTTTGCTTCTTTGCTTCTGTGCTTTTCTGCTTTTCCCTGCTTGCTTGCTTCTCTGCTTTTCTATGTTTTCCTGCTTTCCTGGTTTTTGCTGCCTTTCTGCTTCTCTGCTTCTTTGCATCTTTGCTTCTCTGCTTCTTTGCTTTTCTGCTTTTCTGCTTCTTTGCCTCTCTGCTTCTCCGCTTTTCTTCTTTTCCGCTTTTCCAGCTTCTCTGCTTCTCTGCTTTCTGCTTTTCCCTGTTTCTTTGCTTACCTGCTTTACTGCTTATCTGTTATTCCCTGCCTTTTTTGTTTCTCATACTGTAGATCAACCCTAAGAAAATAAAAACCATCATATAAATTAAATAACCCCAACTATAAACAAACCCCAAACCAATCCCAAAAAACCACTAAAGCAACTCTAAGTAAACCCTAAACACTCCCTAGAAAAATCAAAAACAAATCCCAAATAACCCCTAAACTAACCCTAAATGGATCTAAACCAACCTATGTTAGACTAAGCCTAAATAAACCTTACACCAACCCTAAATAGATATTAAACCAGGCCTAGATCCTAAACCAAATCTCAACAAACCTTAAAACAACCCGCAATAGGTCCTAAGCCAACCCCAAAAAGTTCCAAGACCCAAACTAAATAACCCCCAAACCAACCGTAAGCAACGCTAAATAGATCCTAAACCAACCCCAAATAGATCTTAAACCAAGCCTAAATGAACCGCAAAACCAGCCCTAAATAGATCTCAAAACACGCCTGCATAAAACCCTAAACCACACCCAAAATACACCCTAAACCAATCTTAAATGGATCCTAAACCAACCCTGAATAGATTTTAGTCAAACCAAACTAAACCCTAAATCGAACCCTAATCCTGAACCAACCCTAAATAGATCTTAAACAAAACCCAAATAAACCCTAAACCACCCCTAAGCAAACTTAAACCAACCCTAAATAGGTCCTAAACCAACCCTAGATAGATCCTAAACCAAGCCTAAATAAACCCTAAAACGAAGCCTAAATAGATCCTAAACCAACCCTAAATAGATCTTAGACCAAGCCTAAATAAACCCCAAAACCAACCCTACCTTTCTGAAAAAGATCCTAAACATTCCTAAACTAACCCTTGAAAAGAAGCTAAAACCAAAAAACCCTTAAACAACCTAAAACCAACCCCAACAAAATCATGCGAAATCTCTAAACTAATCCTAAAACCAACCCTAAATGAACCCTACCTGCAAACTACCATGTTACATGAACAGTTCGAGCACCAAAATGTTGCAAATTCCATCGAAAACGAAAGGTTCGAACTCAAAAACAAATGCAAATAGCGATGAAACGGCAGCTTCCAGCTCCAAAATGCCACAAATTCCACCAAAATGTTGGTTCGAACTCAAACATGCTGCAAATACCATTGAAATGGCAGCTTCCAGCTCCAAAATGCTGCAAAGAGCAAGGAATATGAACAGAACAGGAAATCCCAACAAAAAACTCAAAACGGAAAAAAAAATGGGGCCATTCCGGACCCATATGTACTTCACTTGCGGAAATCCACCGTTTTTGTCAACACCATTGAGGTGTGCTAGGTGCATTTGCCACCAAAAGTTTACCTTGAACTGATGAGGGAAAAAATCTGAAGTCTATACATGGAGCATCTGGGATAGATTCAAGATCAGGTGTCCCGACCTGCAAAATACCGGACCATGATTTTTTGACCCGAGAAATCAGAGAACGGTCACCCAAAAATATGTTTATACATGTTTATACATTCTTTTTGGATTAGATGGGTTTTGCATCCAGGTAAACAATAAACTTTCAGCATCTTTTAGCCAGGTCATCCAGGTAAACAATAAACTTTTAGCCAGGTATCAACAAGTCACCAGCCATAAGAACGATTCTGATTTGCTCAGGAATCATGGCCCAGTCATGCAGTGGTTTCAACAGGTCGGGCGATTAGTCTCTCTTTGCAGTCCGACATGGTGAGCTAAAGCGACCATCGACCAGCAAAATATGTGTGTCCGATCCATGCGTCACAGCGGCTGGATGTGCATGGAGGGGCTTTGGGACTTGCTGAATTAGGAACGTTAGTTGCTTAACGTTTTTAGCCATAAAGAATATGGACGAAACAGCTACAGTATATCCCAAGGCCATCTCAGGTGATGGTTGGACTATCCCGAGTTCGGGCTGATAAAAAACAGGACATTCGGAACTTCGGAGCACGTCCCAGTCTTGTGGGAGTTCCATCGCCATGACGACTGAAAGCTTAAGTGGCTCAGGTGGTTGATTCAAGGGAAGATCTGCCAACCAAATATATATGGGGATGGGTCAAAACCCTTGTACCCCTGGTGAACATCAAAATAGCTGGTAAATGGATGTTCATCCCCCTAAAAATGGTATCAATAGGTATTGATTCATAGCCATATATGTTATTTTTCTCACACACTTTCCCTGGAAACACTTGGGTTCACCATGCACAAAACCCAGCAAGGTTGTTGAGAAGGAGGTACCCTCACAGCAAACCGTTGGGCCGTTGGGTCTTGTCGCGGCTCTGATCATTGTGATCTGGCTCCACAGTCCAACAAAAAGGCTAAAGGCCACAAACAACGGACAGAACCATCCTGGGCATCTTTGTAGGACGAAAAAGCGATGCCTTGATTTGCCCCTGGACACTTTGGTCCGCAGGCAGGTCAAGTACGGAAGAGTTTTCCATAGTCAGGTTAGATGACCACACTTCGATATTTACACAAATTATCAGGAAAACATAGCTTGGATTACCCATGACCTATCAAAGTTCCATCGATTCCCGGAGAAATACCGTGCCCCCACTGCTGCCATGACGGTGCACCTAAGCTCTCTGCCTTTGCTTGAGAGCCTAGCTGTGATGCCCGCTGGACACTGTGCGGTCTAGGCAACTATGTGGGTATCTTAATGGTCATATCGAGAGTGATGGGAATAGGAACATGTAACCATCCATCTGATATTTAGATATATCACTGCAGTTTATAAAGTCCGTAAAGCTGGAGGATTGGGTCGCCAACATTAACATGATGATTTTTCAGCGTCAACAATAGTTGTTTGATCGCTCCATGGTGGAATGGGTGTGTCATAGTTTGTCCAAAGATGGTGGACACCCCAATTTACCCTCTGGTAAACTAACATAGCTATTGAAAATTGCCATTTATAGTGGATTTACCCATTAAAAATTGTGATTTTCCATAGTTTTGTTAGTTTACCAGAGGGTATCATCATTTTAACAAGGACAATTTTGATCCAACCATGGAATTCTTGAGCCCCCATTGATAGTTTTTTACATGCCATGCATGCCATGCATGCCATGCCATGCCATGCCATGCCTCAGTCCAGAAACCTAAGAAAACATGAGAAAACTGACATCGAAACCCTACATTCAGAATGTGTATGGAAAAGTGTCTTCCACTTGGATGTCATTGTTGGGATTCTATATTGAGGGCGAAACGCATTGGATTCCCAGTAACCTCCAGTGATACACCAAGACCTTCTAGGACAAATTCCGGGCAAGTTTTTTCCCCGATGCCAACTTCTGTGGGGTGTGGGTCAAATGCATGAAAAGCCTTGGACCCGCAGATTGAATGGCCATTGAATCGTATCCCGTTCTTTTGGCACACAAAGACCTAGGCGCTTGACCCTACATGAGTTTTGAGGAGAAATTTGTTTCCTCAGCCACTGGACACTTCACTGGTCAGTTCAGAATTGGTCAATCCCACAGGTCACTGTCACTGACTCTTTGGGATTTCATTTCCCAGAATTGGATGCGAACATCTACAGGCTTTTGTCCTATATCTAGCTAAAAGCAGCCAGTTTCCGAGTTTCCTATAGATTTTCCCTTAAAGCCATCGCTGTGAACAGCAGCCCATTGCCATTCCGGGCCATTCCGGGCCCTTCCGAGGCCACAGAAGCAAAGTGATACGGAGCCTCAGGACCAAGCTGTGAGCCATCGAGAATGGGAGTGATCCAAGCAGCTTCTGTGGGAAATGGCCAGCAAGACGGGAATGAAATCACGTTGATATAGCAATGGTTCTTGATTAAAGCAAGACAATGCAAGACATTGTGGTATGTTGTGGCAATGGTTGTGGCAATGGTTGCGGCAATGGTAATGATTGTCATGGTTGTTATATGTTGTTATATGATGTTATATGATGTTATATGATGTTATATGATGTTATATGATGTTATACGATGTTATACGATGTTATATGATGTTATATGATGTTATATGATGTTATATGGTTGCGGTTGCGGTTGTGGTTGTAGTTGTATGTCACATGTCTGAGAGCCGTTATTTATTGGAGGAGTATGTAGGAGCCGGAGCCAATATCGGCCATGGAAATCGAGGGCCGGGCAAACACAAGAACAGTCTGTTATTTGATCAATAGAAACCTTGAATCATTTTTTTCCTTGAATCTTGAAGAGCCATGAAGATTCAAATGATAAATTATCAGAAACAATTAATAAGGCAAGTTTATGCCTTGATTGATTTGTTTGTTACTTCTACATTTTTGGTATAGTAATTGCACTTACCACAATGGTTGCACGACCACAAGCCCATGGTATGGCTTGTCGCCTCCAAAAATCACAAGTGGCCAGGATGAGTACAACGATGACATCGATGAGCATCGCTTCTCTCCTGAGGAACGGTTCTGGGTGATAATGGTTAATGGTGGTTAATAATGGTTAATAATGGTTAATAATGGTTAATAATGGGTAATAGTGGTTAATAATGGTTAATAGTGGTTAATAATGGTTAATAATGGTTAATAATTGTTAATAGTGGTTAATAATTGTTAATAATGGTTAATGTTGGTTAATAGTGGTTAATAATGGTTAATAATGGTTAATAGTGGTTAATGGTGGTTAATAGTGGTTAATAATGGTTAATAATGGTTAATAGTGGTTAATGGTGGTTAATGGTGGTTAATAGTGGTTAATAATGGTTAATAATGGTTAATAGTGGTTAATGGTGGTTAATAGTGGTTGAATGATGTCTCTGCTTGGTGAAAAAATGAGCAACAACAGATGGCCCTCCGGATTCGGTGGTCCATCTGTTGTTGGAACAGAAAACCCATCTGAAAAGATGATTGCACGGAATTTGAACATGGGAATCTTCCATAATTTCCCAGTTTATAGATATTGGATGATATTGGGCTTTCCATCTTAAAATGGAAATCCCCTTAAAAACGCTGGATTTTTCGTTTATTTCATGGAAACCACGTCCCACAAGGCTGGATGATTTAGGGCTATATACCCCCAATTCGGAACCCCCCCGGCGCCATTCGGAAAGCTCTGCAGGAAACGTTGATCATCTTCGATTGGGATGATACCGTGATGCCCTCCTCCTGGGTGCCCCGCTTCAGAAATTCATATGGGAATGGAAACTTAGGAAATCATGATTTAACCATATTGAACCTATGATGGAACCTATGGAGACTCAACATTTCTATCATAGTTTAGCCTGCCGAGCTAGCCTTTTTTGGGGTGGATTTCATCAAGAAATGTCAAGATGTAACCAACAAATCTAGCCTGGGATTTCAACAAATCGTTTGACTGGCTCAGAAATCACCAATTTTACCAAGAAATCACCCAATTTCAATGGGAAAAATCATCGACATCTTCAGTACTTTGCAGCCGTGCTCTGGAGCAGGTGGTGACTTCACTGGCCCTTGCTGAAAATTATGGCTAGTGCCGGGGAAACCAACGCTAGATGGGACAGACATTTGGGTTTGTTAAATGTTGAGAATGTTCAATGTTTCTGCAAGGAAGCCCTGACTTCAGCATGTTTTTTTGACTTTTTGTCATTTGTGGTTATTTTAGAACCAGTTTCAACATAGTTGGGTCCCATATGTGTACATACATACAGGCCCCAGCAGCAAAAGGATGATAGCAAGGTACCTCAACTAGCCCTTTTCCCAGATCAAAATATCAAATAATATCAAATAACACCCTATAAGCCCTGGTTTAGCCAGTAAGGCTGTAGGTTCTATTCATGACTTGTCCAAGAACGATCTTGGGGTCCCAAAACGTTGGCAGTTCAGAGATCTTGAGATACCAAGATGCTTGAAGATCATATAAAACACATTAATTATAGTAAAACATGATTCATGGTACTATCATTTCTCATGCTATTTCACTCCATCATTCATTAGATCTAGTTTAAATTTAATTTTTAATTTAAAGATAGTTTCAGATTTCAGACCATCATGGACGAGTCTAGCCCATCATTAAACTAGGTAACGCCGCCCGTAAAGACGCGGGCTGTTTTGCACTCAGGCATTTCTGATGTGCTTCAGGACATGTGGCACAGCTGTCCAAAGGTCTTTGCCATTGTTGTATCTGTACTGCCAGCTGTAGGTCCATTGCCAAGGCTTTGAAGTTAGTTGTGAGAAGATGTAGACAAGATGTTACAACGTAGCATCAACCTCGTCTCAGAAGTAAGTTACTGGAGAGAAGATGTTACAACGTAGCATCCAGAGCGTATCCGAAGTTAGTTGTGAGAAGATGTAGACAAGATGTTACAACGTAGCATCAACCTCGTCTCAGAAGTAAGTTACTGGAGAGAAGATGTTACAACGTAGCATCCAGAGCGTATCCGAAGTTAGTTGTGAGAAGATGTAGACAAGATGTTACAACGTAGCATCAACCTCGTCTCAGAAGTAAGTTACTGGAGAGAAGATGTTACAACGTAGCATCCAGAGCGTATCCGAAGTTAGTTGTGAGAAGATGTAGACAAGATGTTACAACGTAGCATCAACCTCGTCTCAGAAGTAAGTTACTGGAGAGAAGATGTTACAACGTAGCATCCAGAGCGTATCCGAAGTTAGTTACTGGAGAGAAGATGTTACAACGTAGCATCCAGAGCGTATCCGAAGTTAGTTGTGAGAAGATGTAGACAAGATGTTACAACGTAGCATCAACCTCGTCTCAGAAGTAAGTTACTGGAGAGAAGATGTTACAACGTAGCATCCAGAGCGTATCCGAAGTTAGTTACTGGAGAGAAGATGTTACAACGTAGCATCCAGAGCGTATCCGAAGTTAGTTGTGAGAAGATGTAGACAAGATGTTACAACGTAGCATCAACCTCGTCTCAGAAGTAAGTTACTGGAGAGAAGATGTTACAACGTAGCATCCAGAGCGTATCCGAAGTTAGTTACTGGAGAGAAGATGTTACAACGTAGCATCCAGAGCGTATCCGAAGTTAGTTGTGAGAAGATGTAGACAAGATGTTACAACGTAGCATCAACCTCGTCTCAGAAGTAAGTTACTGGAGAACGTTAACATCACCCCACCCCCCCACCCCAACCCCAGCGTATGTCACGTAACGCTTCCAAGGAACGTTAACATCACCCCACCCCCCCCCACCCCAACCCCAGCGTATGTCACGTAACGCTTCCAAGGAACGTTAACATCACCCCACCCCCCCACCCAAACCCCAGCGTTGTCAGTAACGCTTCCAAGAACGTAACATCACCCCACCCCCCCACCCCAACCCCAGCGTATGTCACGTAACGCTTCCAAGGAACGTTAACATCACCCCACCCCCCCCCACCCAGACAACCCACAAAAAGTATGAACGCAGTAAAAAAAACTTTAAAAAACCCCGCGTCTCTACGGGCGGCGTTAGCTTAAACTAGCAGTGGATCAGGGGATCCCAAGGCCCCGCGGCACCTGGACCAGGTGGAGGGCCTCCGTACTGGAGAAGATGAAAGCAGCGAAGTCTTGGTCTCGCAGGACCAGAAGGTGCCGCGGGGGCTCGGTGCAGCGGGGAGATCTATATAAATATGTTTGATATATATATATGTTATACATCGTTTTTTATTGTATGTATGTTTATAGTATAATTATATATATATATATAGATGTATATATAAGAATGCATTGGGTATATATATATACGTAGATTGATACATTCTGAATTTTTGTATTATTATGAGTTATTATGATAATGTACTGTAATGTCATGTAATAATGTAGTGTATTGTATTGCATTGTATGTATGGATGTGAATTAATTATATATATATATATTCATATTGTAATCTGATATGTATATTGATATACATTTTAAATCATTTTGATGTAAACTATGCAACTGTGGATATTCTTTGCTGGTGAGATCCTGTTGGATTGATACCCAGTACCAGGATGGATTGTGGTTTACCCTTTTACCCTCCCTTTTCACCAACATAGATGTGGAGTTTAACCCGCCTTAGTTTGATGCTTAAATCCCCCAATTTTCAATGGTTAAAATCCCTTATTTTTGTTGGTTAAATCATGTTAGGTCTCAATTATTGGTGGTTAAATCTTGATGTTTGTTGGTTAAGTCTCGATTTTTCTTGGTTAAGTCTCGATTTTTCTTGGTTTAACCCACATGTTTGTTGGTAGATCCCCAAGTTAACCTTTGAAATTTATAGATCTCCTACTTTCGCCATGTGCCAAGGAGCAACTCGAGGATTTGGCGAGGTGCCGGGTCCCAAAAAAAACACATCGAAAATGGGTTGGTTTGATGGGAGATGAGTTGGGTAATGGTAGGGAAAAGCAACACTGGTTGGTGGTTTGGAACATAAATTTTATTTTTCCATATATTGGGAATAATGATCCCAACTGACTAATATTTTTCAGGGGGTTGACACCACCAATTAGAACATATTTGCGAAGTTCTTAGGGATGCAAAAGTTCAGAACATATTACCAACCACCAGTTATGGGCGCCCCAGTGGGAAGACGTGAAGATATAGCCTCTGGTTATTTAACACTTTGCTATGATATAGATGGCCCATTTAGTTCGATGTATTATCTACCTGTGAAGAGTGGTGATTCAATAGCTACGTTAAATTACCAGAGGCTATCTATATGGTAATCCCCAAAAAAGGATAGAACAGCAATTTATCACTATTCTGGTTGGATTCTAGTCTTCAATCTTTTTTGGGTGCTGCTATACCAACGAAATATACTTCTACTATTATAGAATTGTAATGATTGTGGTACGATTGTTTCAATGGTTGAATTATTTTGGGATGGGTTCAATAGAAGGAGGGATGAACATGGATAAGACACAGTGACACAGCTCTGAAAAGCTGTGAAAATCCGGGCACCAGCCTTTTGACCCCAACGGTGAAAGCATGAAAAACTCCCTATATTTCCAGACAATATGTTGGATGCTAAAAACTAATTCTGGTTTACTGTTGCTTGCTGTAGACAGTTCCTACCGACTAAACTAGTGATTAGTTTGCTATGGTTTGCCGTTGAAAAAAGCTACCAACATTCCAGTGGCAACCCGTCAAGATGCGATTCTCTAGGGTGCCACATTTTGCGACACCAACAGAAACGATACGTACAAGTAAAGCCCGCACAAGACAGGGCGGAAGTTTCCGATGGGAACACGCGTTCCTAAAGAAATGCCGGAAGGATTTGCCTAGATATGTGTTTATTTAATGATAGCTGTTGTAATCACAACGATAAACTTTTCAGTTAGGTATGGTGGTATGGTTCTTACTGGGTGTTGGTCCAAAGGTGGAAGGATTTTTCTGATTTTCCCATCCATGAAATTCCCAGTTCAATCCCATTAAGTCCCACCATTAAACCGCCATGAAATCACCAATCCCAACTGTATACCATTACCCATAGGATCCATGGTGCTGCTATACATGGTAACATGGATCCCATCAATATACCCCCTTTATGTTAGCATATATACCAGCACCATGGATCCTATGGGTTATATCCCTATAAACATGGTCTATTTTCAGGCTTCGCAGTTTTTATATGTCATTATTCCCTTATTGTATCCCTATTATATCCTATTGTTTATATCTAGAACCTTCTAATTATAAATTATCAAACGGTCCCCATGGGACATCCATGAAACACGCCAGGTTGGCCACTGAGACGTTAGGGCTGGCGCAGCAGTTGGGAACCGTGGTGCCCTGCCAGGAATCGTGGTGAATAAACCGCTCGTCCCCATTGTTTTTCATACGGGGGGGTGTATCTCAGGAATCGTGATTGGTGAAGAACACCCACATATATATATATATATATCATAATAACATATATATATCATATATTATAATTATATATATAATATTATATTATATTATAGTATATTATATTATTATATTATTATATTATTATATTATTTTATTATTATATTATTATATATATTATTATATTATTATATTATTATATTATTATATTTTATTATATTATATTATATTATATTATATTTATATTATATTATATTATATTATATTATATTTATTATGATTATATATATATGTACGTATATGCATAAGCCATACATGTAGATATTCCATCCAAAGCTAGGTTAGCTTAAATGCTTACTACCTGCTTGCAGAGGTGCACAAAGAGAACGGTTGCGTGACCCAAGTACTTCAAGTATTTCATGAAATATACCCTTCCACATATGTGGCTATATAATACCCTCTTGTGATTTAACAGTTTAAGCTATGGAAACGAACATTTTTTAAATATCTTCAATAGGTAGATCGAGAAATCGACCAAGGCTTCGCTATGTCAAATTCCAAGAAGCGATCTATCATATGGATTCATATGGCATTTATAGTAAGAATTCATGTTGCTTCCATAAAAAAATTATATAATAAGCATCACCATAAATAGGTGCTATAAACCATTCCCAAATCGGTGGTTTATGGCTTTGCTTTAGCAGCACTTTAGTCCTTGGTTTTCGAACCGCAATCCCGTCAGTTGCTGGTGACGAATGCTCAGCAAGGATGGGCCGCATCCTCGGTGAATGGCTGAATGAATTGCTGAATGGCTATGGCTGCTATGGTTTTAAACATAGCTTCGTTCATGCCTGGCTTAGATCGCCATTTCTGGCTGAATGGACCCTGATTTTCAAGGATTTTTCAATGGCTGAATGGCTATGGCCGGCTCCATGATTAATTATATTGATGATCGGAACACTGTAGGGGAAAAAACATATTTTGAGTATCTGGGCTAAGGTTATTTTGGGAGATTGGAACATGTTATTTGCAGACAAAGCCAGATACAAACCCATTGCGGTATCTGCTGATTCTTCTGTATCTGGGTTTGTCTGAAAATAGAGAACAATATAGTTTGAAATTTGATGGTTCACCATCATTTTTCCAATTGAACATTGCCATTTGAATCCATTTGAGGGTATCCCCCATTTTCGGACAAAAGGAACCGAAGATCGTGTGCACTTACAGGTCCAAGCCTATGAAGGTCCTGAAAGATGTCGGCATGAGACTAATGAACATGGCTGGACCAACGATGACTACCGCAGGCTCTGGACCACTCTGAAAACCCGAGAACTTGGGAATCACTGGAACCCATATAACCAGAGTAGATGGATATCCCTGGCCGATATTTTGGACACTTAGCATGGCATCCTGCACATGAAATTCCGATATATTGCCCGAATTTCATTTCAACATATTTCAACTAAGAGTCGGTGCGATGCCAGTTTTTTAGCGGAACTTCCAGAAAAGAGAACGGTTCTTCGAAGCCTGCATGCAATTCTGGCACATGGATGAAGACCGTTTTTTTCGCGTCCTTCCTCTATGCATTGTGAAATTTTTCGATACATCACAGGCCATAGGCTACCAATGTATCGTGGATCCTGAGGTATTGGACTGATTGGACTGATTGGAATCCGAGGATGACTTAAACCAGGATTTCTCGGCTGGACCCAGACTATCGCCTTGAAGGATAAACATGATAAACATGATAAACATGTCACATCACAGGAGATCCTGGCTCTGGTTTACTATTTGTTTGGTGTTTCAAATATGCCACCACTTGATATCTTGATACGCCTTGCCCATTGAGAATGATGAGCCCGTACGTAGTTGGAATTCATAGTTTTCAACTTAGTGGGTCAACCAGAAACTAGACTATGGTTGGTCAATGCACAATGTTTCAAATCTTGCTCGGTCAATTTGTGTATATACCATTATATACCCATTTAGTCTGGTTATTGGTTTGAAAGATTTGTCGTTTCCATTCTATTCGGGATGATAATTCAAATTGATCTTCCATTCTTCAGATTCTTCAGATAAATCAGCAATCAGTGAATCGGCGAGATTTAGTCGAATTCTCAAAACCTCAAAATGGGTTTAATAAATACAAAAGATTGCAAATTTTGCAGTTCCATTGTTTAACCCTTCCCCATACCACGTTTTTCTTCCTCCCTAGCCAGTAGGATGGAACTCAAAGAGTTCTATGTGTCCTTTTGTTTTCATGGGGAGGGATCTACTAGGAATGTCCCAACCATTTTTCCCGTAGTTTTCCCATAGCTTTCCCATAATTATGCCATGATAGGTCGCTGTGACGCTGGGCTTGGCGCTCAACCCACGCCGAGGTTGAACTGAGCTGTCAACGATACATGCCGACTCTGCTTCCTGCGCTCGCTTCGGTGCCCTGGCATCGCTGCCAGCATCGCTAGCCCAATAGCTGAAGGTTCAAGACCCCAAATTTGCTGAGATTGGGCAGATTAGGTGGTTTTTTCCTTGATTTTCATGGGGTTTGGTTTGTGATTTCGGGGGTGCACTGCGTTATGCTGGACTTCGTGCAGTGGAACCCGTGACTGGGACAATACTTGGGCAAGTGGGAATCTGGGAGTCTCACTTGAAGATGATCTCATCATTTTGCAATCTGTCAGAAGTGCTTGGACTACAGTATGGGTGCAGCTGGGGGCAACACTAGCAGTCGCTAGCAGCCTTGAAACGAAGCGGGTCACTCTCAGTCTGAAATTAAATCTTCAAGCATCTCCAATCTTTTTCGGCTTTGAGCCTTTTTATATCTTTTTATGAATTTGAATACCTAGACCTTCCAAATACACCCAAAAACGGGGAAATTACCAAAAATAAAGATGTCAAACACCATTTTGTAAGGTACTTGGAGGGTCTAGGTAAAGACACTTCCCCAAGCTGGGCTCTCAAAATCATTGATTCGCATGCGTCCTAGGTGCGGATCATGTCGGCGCGAACTCGTTTCGAGACGGAACAGGTCTCTTCACCTTTTGAGGCTGCGGATGGGAGTCAGGGAGTCTTGGTTTAGGTTCAGATTCAACCTGATCCAAACATATCCAAAACAGGTAGGGATTGAGCTGGAAACCTGGAACCATCTGGAACCCATTTTGGAGTCATTTCAGAGGCTTCAACAGCGACCCAGAAAAAAGCAAAGATGGGGGTGACGCAAGGGTTCTGTGCGGCCGGATTTTACATGATTTTACCAGCACGAAGTGGGATACGTCCCAGCACGAGATGCTGAAGCAGAGGGTTCATGTGGATATGTGGGGACTAAATAGAGGATTTCAGGCTAAAAACCTATTTGGATTGTCAAAAGATGTTAGACACCAGGAAGCAGGGCTCCTTTTTCATCCGTTAGCTTCCCAGGGCCCCCAGGGACCCTCTCAGCCGCCCAGTGGAAGCACCGGGCGTTCCTTTGTGAAATCGGTCGTGTCTTTCGTGACAAGTCCAGGAGCAGCTGTGGGGCGGGGTTGAGTCCTAGAGCGGGGTTGAGGTCAACTTGAGGACGTTGATATTTTGCCCTGCAGCCCAGGCCTCAATTTTTTTGTTTGGGTGAACTCCTGCAGTTGGTAGCATGAGCCCCCTTTGAGCAGTGCGCTGAAAACCTCAAAGATTCGGCTGTTCCTGGGGTCCAAGTGGATGCAGGCAGCGCTTGGTGACATGATATCCATAGGAACACGAGATTTGTTGCCACATGTTGCCACACATAGTTTCTGCGTATCGGTGTCCTAACACGAAAATTTCGCCTGCTTTTGCACACGAGAGATGCATCAGAAATCCAGTAGAACAGCATTGGTTTCATCGTTCCATGCTGTTTTACTTGGTTTGGATATTCGAAATGTATTGTTACATTTGAAGACTGCATACAGAAGACTTTAGGCCTTTAGGCCTGACTTAGGCATATGTAATTTCTTGGATGCATCGTTTACAATAGTAAATGCCCTTCAAAACCATGCTAGGCCAGGCATGACTTAGGCGTGACATTGCCTTTTCCCTGCTGGTTTCAAGTTTTTTCATTGGTTCACCCATCTCCAAGTGCCTCTTTGGGGTGAGAATCACCATCACAGGAGGAGTGCACCACTAATCATACGATGAAGAGAGCAACCTGCCAAGCCGGGGGACTCTTCCAACAAAAACTATGGGAATCCGCTCATCATTTCCGGGATACTCATTGTCTTGACATGGGTTTGCTTCCCAAAAGTGTATAAAAATGTATATTCTGTGGGTGTACGTGTGTGTAATTGTGTATATATATATATATACCCACCGAAATTGCCATTCAATGAATAAAATCTATGATATATAAACATTATAAACCAGTAACCCCTTCCCAAGTTTAGATTGAATAACACCCAGACAAAACCCCAGCTGGAATGTATAGGACCTAATAGGACCTATAAAAGATGACTTGTGGGGCCCATTCTGGGTATTCAAGAACCAGTCCCGCTCAACCGCAGGAGAAGAAACATTCTCTCCTTCGGGGACAGTGGGCACGAAAGAGAAGCCTTGATCAAATCTACCGCCCGCCACACCCAGGGACGGGATTCTGGTGTTATTTTGGGTGATTTTATGGGTTGGGGTCCAGTTATTGGGGGTCTTATGAAGATTGGAGTCGAAGACAAGAATTGGATTCCCTCCAGCATTGTAGAAAATCTCCCATTTGGTTCGATGATGTTCGATGAATTTCCCAGATTTTGTTCGCTGATGTTCCCAGGCTATAAACCTCCGTTGAGTTTGGGGATTTCCCAGCCACGTCTGATTGCCGGAGGGTGTTACCATATAGTTATCTCTGGTTACTATAAGTCCGTTGAAGCTGCAGTCCAACAGTTGGAGAAAACCCCGATGAGAAGCTGTTCCGGCTGTGGTTGACTGGTGGCTTTTATGAAAAAAAAGGCATGTGAATGAAGTGAAGAACAACATAGAACAACAACCTACCCTCTGGTAAACTAACATAACTATTGAAAATTGCCATTTATAGTTGATTTACCCATTAAAAATGGTGATTTTCAATAGCTATGTTAGTTTACCAGAGGGTAGTTGTTTTTGTTTGTCTAGGCATTCGGGTGTCTCTGGGAGAGTCTAAGCTTTCCCTTAGACCTTGGAGCGGTGGATTTTGGGGGACGAATTTGGGCTCGTTCAAAATTGAAGACCGAGAACAAACCACGAATTTGGGCTATGTTTACTGCTTTATCTATCAGAATCTATCATCAACGGTTCAATTTTATTTCAATTTTGGGGTACGCAATTGTGACACCCATCGACCATCAAACCCCAATTGAACCGGCGGTGGTGACGGACATGAGAATGGGTTCAGATTTTTGCCTCGACGTTGGATGCTTTCAGAAGCCCCAAGGTAGCAAGCCATTTGTTTTTCATATGCCATTCCGATGTCGTTCCTTGTTGTTCTATTGGTCCTTCTCACCTCGGAGAACCCCCCATCACAATTGAATTTGAGTATGGTCAAAATATGTCAAAATGATCACCCTAAAAAAATGGATGAGTTCACACTCATCATACACTTATCATTCTGTACTCCTGATGTTTGGACAAAACCATTGTTGACCATACCCAGGTTTAGGTCATTCGCCATCTGTGTCGAGGCCAATATGCACAACACAAGAACGAAATCTGTGAAGATCTGCACTCAGTACGAATAGTTTTTTCCGATGTCAGTTGGGAGATACGCTTTATAAAGTCAAAAATCGCCAATTCAATTTTTTAAAGAATATGGTAAACCTATGAGAATCATGAGATTTGGGGGTATCCTATTTTCAAACAAACCCACATGAATGTTTTAAAATGGAACTCCTTATATAAATAGATAGGGGATGAATCGAACCTGGCTTGAGGTTTTCAGTTATAGACATAGTAAGACATATTTTTGTATTTTTACCTATATAACTACCCATCTTTATGGATATTTCGAGGCGGAAGGCATGGGGAATTGAGCAAGTAAGTCACAGACCCACCAAAGATTCTGATAACAAGTTGGGTTTTACCCAGCAAAAGTATAGGACCCTCAACCAAAGATTGCTGCGTTCCACCTTTCTGGTAGCTTGATGATTTTGGGTTCATGGCTCCAATGAAGAAAGCCGAGGTTTTTGGACCGCCCAGGGGTGCATGAGCTTGGGAAGCAACATGCGGTCATGGTCGGAGGACCTGTGGAGAGGGAACTGAGGGCGGCCATGGCGGCAGGTGCGGTAGCAGCTGGAACCCACACAGGACGCAGACACGGCCGGTCAATCTCAATTTGTATTTGATATGATTGATATGTTTGATATGTTAACTGGCTCAACTTGGGGGTCAATCATTTTGAGGGAATGGATAGCCTCTGCAATTTTAGCCTTTTAATTCTGTAGAAGCCATGTCCCCAAGTTGTCCAAGTTGTGATTGATATATGGATTTATCTGAAAATGGGGTGCCCTATTCCATCCACTGGTTGATCCTTAAATTCATTAAATGACCATAAATTACCCTCTGGTAAATTAACAGTTCGACCCTGAAAATCACCAATTTATCGTGGAAACTCGTCTTCCAAGACAACTGGCAGGGTCCAACTGTTAATTTACTGGAGGGTATATTGGGGGATATCCCTCATTTTGAGACACATACGCAGCATGAGGCGTTGATTATTGAGAGCTGCTGCTGCCCTTTGAGGTCGAATGTCTAGGACATATATAGAATGGAATTCCATCGCATTTCAGCCGGATTTTTCTTGTCTCCATCATTCTAAAATATTATATACATGTATATATATATAGATATTATAGATATAGAACGTTTGTATTATGTACCTACATATTATATTATATAGAACATATCAATATATAGTATTATATAGTACATATGTACGTATATATATATATATTACATATATAGTATCTATTTGCTCACCGCTGGTTTATTGAACGTTTGATCCACCCAACTGATAAGAATTGAAGATCCCGAGGTCAAGTGCCTGAAGCAGATCGTGCATCACGATGGTAACCTGGACCTTTGTCTTCGGGTCAGGCAAGGCATCCCAGACGTGGACACCTCCAAAAGGGCCAGAAATTCACAAAGGGGATGGAATTTGGAAAGAAAAACATAGAACATGTTGACGTGGGGCTACAACAATACCAACAATGTGGGGACTTGAGATTTGTTTTCTTTGATGTGGCTTTGGTAACTGAAAATCTATGGAGGATTTACCTTCGGAAAATTCGCCACCAGGTGAAGCCTTTGGGGTCCATAGTCTATATCCCATAGGATCCATGTATGGTATATATGGTAACATTTACCATCAATATACCCCAAATGTTAGCATATATACCATACATGGTTCCTATGGGTATATATATATATATAGCACCCCCCGAAAAAGATAGAACAGTGTTTCCAGAATGGTATAGAATACACAAAGAAGTATAGATGATGTTTTACCCATATTTCCGTGTTTCCAATTTTCTATCTTCTTGGGTTTTCTTTATCCATTGAACCGGATGGGATGTGCTTCCAAAATTTGAGACAACCTTTTCGCTGCAGGTCAGATTGCACAGAGGGCTGAGCCACTGAGGCGAAGCTCGGCCCCGTTTTTTTGAGCGGGGTCGTGGAATGGGGAAGCGACGAGCTCCTTTCTGGGCCGAAAATTCACGGTGTCGAGTCATTTTATAGGATGATTTTTGGCCGTCATTTAGGATGATTTTCAAGTCTTTTCCAAATGTTTCAGGAATTTTCAGGGTGTGTTTGATCAGAATGGATGAAATCATCTGAAATCTGCGATTTTTGTATATGTTTGCCTGTTTTTTGCCAGTGATTCAAATAGGGGCGCCCAATTTTCGACCGAACACGTCTCACCCTGGGTGTCACCCAGGTGGGGATCCTCCGAGCGCCAGTCTGCGACCAGTGGGTGCGTTATGGTGCACAATATCTGGATAAATTATCACTATCATATCTAGAAATATCCAGATATTCTGCATATTCCAGTTATCATCAGTATATGATAATGATTAAATATGGTTAATATCATCATTATTCAGATATCCACTCATTAATTATCATTACTACATATATATAATCACATATATATATATATATTATAGTGATTGGAGATTGGATATCATATATGTCATATTTATGATTCTGATATATGATATTTCCAGCAGTATTATCTATGATGATAATGAATGAATATACTAATTGGGTTATTAATATCAAAAAATAGTTAGTGGGATATGATTATTATCAATATTACTATCATTCTTGGGATTATTGATAATAATCATAATATTAATCTTAAAAACATGTGTATATTATGGTATATGATCTAATTAATATAGCACAATCATAATCATTTGATAGCCCAAGATGGGATGATTTAGCTAAATCCCAAGAATATGATTTCATGATCATAAATCCAAGATAGGATGTTAATCCACTATGTGTATATATATATATGTATATGTATATTATCAATATATAAATCTCGATGAACTGGATCATCACCTCGGGGGGTTTTTCGTCTGATGCAACTGGGATGAGGGGTTTTTCGTGTTTCGCAGTTCGGCAGTTTTGAATTTTCCCGAAGTGAAGAGTAGTCTTCCAGAGGTCATTCTTGAATACAGGAACTGGGGCTTGGAAAATGACAACCTCCAAAAAACTATGAAATAATTTTGTAACATTCAAAAGCTGGAAAACAATCATGCGCTCTCCAGAAATTAAGGACGTGTGGCCACAAGGCGTTTGTCAATGGCTTTGATAGAGTGCACCCTCCAGGCAGTATGTCCCTGCAAAATCAATTCTAGGACAGGACCTGTTGTGCTGGGGAAACCCGCCATGATTTGCCAGGGCTACCCTTCAGTAATTGACCCTTAAGTACCCTCAAGTCTTGGACCCTCTTCCTGCGGAGTGTGGGGAAACCCTGGGCGGCTAGTTAAATAGACTGATTCTCATATTTAATACAATTAACCCTATTTAACTGCGGAGTGTGGGGAAACCCTATTACTCACATTATTCTCATATTTTGCAATACAATTTGAGTAATGTACCCCTTGAGTAATGTACCCCTCAGTCACGTAAACTTTGACAATAACTGTTCCAGCGCAGGAAATCTTTGAAATATCGGACCCGGCTCTGTTTGTGATTTGGTGGCACGTAATTTTGAGAACAATTCCGGTACCTTTCGAAAGTGTGTCCAGCCCATACTGTAGGTGAATGTTTTTTTTTGGCACTCAAAGAAATCATTTTGGTGCAGTTTCCCCTAACAGAAGTCCAGTTGCCCCCTCGACATCATGGCTAGAACTGGCCTGATGCTGCCACCATGTTCCACCCATCTGGCGCTAAATCCGCGATGGTATCGACTGAGAAGTTTGGAGATGGTCCAATCGACTTGGGAAACAGAAGGATCCAAAGCCATAGAGACCCAAATTACCCTCTGGTAATTTAACATAACTATGGAAAATCACCATTTATAGTGAATTTTCCCATTAAAAATTGTGATTTTCAATAGCTATGTTAAATTACCAGAGGGTATCCAACTTTAGACCATTCCAGAATTGACCGCCATGGGTTTGTGGATCCCCCATCTTGAGAAACCCTCAACTGCAGTCTGATGTGTCCTGCCATGCACCTCAACCGGGATGATTCGTGGGAATTCAAGAGGTGCTGAAGCGGAAAATTGCTGCTAGTGTAGCCAAGTTCTTGGAAATACCAAGGCAAGGTAATCTGTTCTTCCGACATTTGATCATCACACACATATATAATATGTTATTATTTGTATATACATACATGTATGTGTATATATATACACACACACTTTTTAATATCTCTCTCTATAATATATATATATACACATACGCACGTAAAGTCTATGGATAGCAACTTACTACATATTCATATATGACACATATGCAGATTTACTGTGATGAGACTATTAAAGATAATATCAAGGGACGTGTCTTGGTAGTTGGTAACACTCGGTAACACCATTTACATCAGCCAAACTGCTCGAGTGCTGGGCGCAAGTGCTGTTTTTCGGCACCTTGATTCATGTGTGGGGTGCACTGAAAAAGGGCAGCGCAGCAGCACGTTTGAAGGCATTTTCTGGTTTGGAACGCAGTGACTTCTAGTTTTCTAATCTGCTCATGCACTTCACTGAACGTCTGGAAAGACTATTTAGACCCGACGATGTTTTGACAAAAATCTGCGGTGCTACACATTCAAAGTATTTCACCACAGAGACGGTATGATTCTCACCATTTCTCACCCATTCGTGTGGGTTTACCCCTGGCGCATCACCGTGTCCTCGGTTCCAAGCTACGCCATGGCGGAGCTCAAAGCGGCTCTGCCGCAGATGTTGAAAGCCCTAAGAAGTGCCAAGCAACGGGAAGAGGACGGTGACGGACCATGGATGGTGAACCTTTTGGAGGTTGGAAATTGGAGATGGGGATGGGTCAAAACCCTGGTACCTAGTGAACCCCAAAATAGCTGGGATTTATGGATGTTCATCCCACTAAAAATGTATCTATAGGTATTGACCCATACCCAGATGGATCATGTTATTTTTTAGCCAGTGGCCAATGGATGTTTTTTTTTAATGTGAAGATACCATAAAACATGGAACAATGACCATTAAAAAGGAAAACTTGCAACTAAAACCAATGGATTTGGAGGCACGGGTTTGACTTTATTTTTGGTATCTAAACCATCCATTTCCATATTGAACAAATCGCCAGAAGCCCCTAGGATCCCGAAGCACCAGCGATGCCACAGAAAACTGTGGATAGGGAAATCCATGGACATCCAAAAGATGAGGTAAAGAAAAACCTGAAGTGATGAGAATGAATGACATGATACCTGCAACATCCACCTGTGCTATTTTTTTGCCTCTTAGCAAAGAGTACAAAATTTCAGCCCCTTAATATAAAAACGCCCCTGGCAGTTTTCTTGAGCAAGAAAAGTGTCCTTGGAAGATCATCCCTGAGTCATATCCAAGTAGTTTTATTCGAAGTTGTGATTCCAATGCTGCAACTGTTGGATACTGTTGGTGCCTGCTACTAGCCCAAATCAGCGACTGAAGAGCCTGCATGACATGCCAGTGTGGGATGAGCAAGTTGCTAGAATGGTACGAAAAGAGGGCAAAGCTTCTTAAGACAAGAAAACCCATGAAGCCAAAGACAGGTGAAGTAGGAGCCATGGTCCCAGTGTCAAAAAAATCAAAACCGGATCGCTCAATTTGATTATGTGCGTTGTGTGCACCCATGGTTTGTCACCCGTATCATACCTGAAAAACCAGGAAATTCGAAATTGAACATGGGTGGTTTCCCAATTGCGGCAAATTACGGCTTTTACCCGGCAAACTACGCCTCTTAAAAGCGTAGGATTTTGCAAAAATGACACCTTGTTATGCCATACCGTATCATACCAGTAATTAGATGATCCCGGGTTTTATGATCAGGAACTGATCATGCCATAAACAAAATTATCATTCGTCCCCGTCGCAGCAGTTGATGGTAAGCCTATCATGCCATGATAACATATGATAACTAATGATAACCGTGTTGTGCCAGGAAAAACGTGTCACATGAAGAGAGTATCTTATAATATCGTCTTATATATGATGCGTGATCTGCGCAACTGCTTCATGCAGTAGCAGCTCATGAGCACAGCTTTACCCGGCAACGAGGGTTCTGTGATTAGTTAATTATTCAGCCTTGCCCCTGAAACATCATCGAACTTTAGCAGGAAACTGGCATCAAGCCTACTAAAGGACATCTGTAATTAATGATAGAACGCTCCAAAAGTCAAAAAACGCCTCTAAGATAAAAATAGGCAGATTTGCGCTACGGGGCAAAAAACGAGACCCTCAGGAACATCTATAGGATATGTATATTTATTTGATATGTAGATCAGTCGTGGGGCCGTGATATTTGGTGACCTTTTAAGATGTTTGCGACACGCGGAAGACACATATTTCCATCAGAACATTGATATCCCTAGTGAGGAAGCACTGCTGATGGAACCCTCGGAATGTGCCTCAAAAAGCTGCTGTGAGAAAGATGATTTCGCGGTAGGTATGGCATGATATGACTACCCCCAAAAAAAGATAGACACGTACTTTTCCACTAGAATAGTGCAATAATTTATTAATTTTTTTAGGTGGTGCTATATTGGACGGAGAATGGCATGATGTGATTTCTCAAAATTGCCAGCTTCTCTCCGCCATGAAGCTTCTCAAGCGCCTGCGATCGGGGAGTTAAATCTAGTTGAAACCATGCCTTTGGATGGCCAAAATCTATCTATGTTGGGAGTAGCGTAGCTCCTGTGTGGTTTTCATGTCCTGGATAGAGATGATCTCAGTTGACGTGACTGGATGTTTCCTGCACCAAACATGGGTGGATGTTGCACCAAACGACTGGGGGGTTTTAAGTTCAACAAAAACCTGGGAGTCAACCAGAGCGTTGCTATATGCATTTAGCCAAGAACGACTGGGCGCAGGAGTTCTTCCAAAGACAGGCCGCGCAGGCGAAAGCTGAAGAAGCCTTGAGAGAAGAGTGCAGACGGGAGAGGCCGGACGCCGAACTGGGATGAGATGTGATTGATATAATCCCATAGGATCCATGTATGCTATATATGGATATATATGGTAACATTTACCATCAATATATCCCCAATGTTAGCATATATA